CAAATGGAAATGCGCTTCATCGGAGATGACTTTTTTCGAAAAATTAGCATCGACTTCACTTTGCTCCATTGCCCATTGAACGAATTGCCGGCGCTTTCCATGGTCTGCTAGTTTGAGTTGCCGAGTTAGCGTACGTATGAAGGTGGTCTTTTGTCAAAATTCGCTGCGGAGTGCTTTGTGAAATTGGAAGTTGTTGAGAACGATGCCGATTAATGTTTTCGGGTTTTCGGCGACACTCTCGTTTACAGCAGCAATGTTTTACGTTGACGTTCGAAGTTCAGTTTCTTTAAATTTTTTGACCACTCTTCGAATGGTTGAAACATTAGGTGCACTTTCTCGGCTGAACATTTGGCGAAGTTTGCGAGAGGTTTCTGCGTTTCTGCTAACTTGCCCCATTTTTGTAATGATAATATTGGAATTTGTCACCAGAAACGAAATTATTTTTGTCTTGTTTTCCTAAGTCGATTCAGAATACTTTTTTAAATCTAATTGTATGAGATAACAAGAACTATTTCCATCCTCTTATGACATCATTCCTTTGTCTAAGAGTTACCTTACAAACGGTTTACATAGCTAGTTGATGTCTGTGTTAACACTTGAGCAACATTGTCGTCAATCAGCTCATGTTAACCAACTTTTTAAATCGACAGTATCCAAAACTCTAATAATTTCATCAGATGCTTCTTTTTTTTTTTAAATAATAATATCCGATTTTGCCATGCCATTGCGTTTGTTTCCTTATCCACTTGTTTTTTAATAATATAATATATAAATATCTCTCGGTCTTTGTGGTCGCACTCCTGCAAAACTGCTCGACTGATTTTTCTATATTTGGTAGGTATACGAATACGTCGTAAAGTACTTTTCACCCTTTCACTAACACCCCCCTTTTTTATAGTCATTTTAGTATAAGTGTATGAAAATATTTTGGTTATATGGCAGAGCAACATTATTGACATCACATCCCGATATCATTTTCGTTTATCTGGTATCATCCAAACACAAGTTATGGTAGTTTATTTTGAACCCTTTCAAAATAAAAAACTTAAACGTTTGGAGAAAAGCAGGTAGTGCTCTTGACGAGGACACTACCGTGCCCTCCGATTGACAAACAAAGTATCCTAATTTTTTTTATCTACTTATACTTAGGGCATACTGAAAGTTTCTGAATTCTGATAAATAAGACATAAGACCTCCGATCCATTTATAGTTTTAAAAAGTATATTCCCTCGCAATTAATGGACTTTTGCATTCGCAGAAACCGTGGGAGAGCCATGCTTCGGCACGAATAGGCCGGCTCGACCGGAGTGATACCACGGCCTTACAGGAAACCGGTGTTAAGCTATTCTTTCGTTGCCTTTCACTGAGTAAGTGAGGTTACCGGAGCCCAAATCCCCCCTTCCGCTGACTCGAGCGGTACGGACTCGACTCCAAGGTAAGCAAAGCACATGTGACTTTTGAGTTGCAGGTGTCCATAGGCGGCGATAGTTGCTTACCATCAGGTGACCTGTTTGCTCGTTTGCATCCTTATACCATAAAAAAAACACTGTATTATTAAAGGAAACGAACACACACGTATTACGTGCGGTATCCATCGACTGCAAAGCTTCCGAACCTTCAGATGCACATTTAAAATGTTCTGGACTAGGCTCATTCCAATGCCTAACTAACCACGAATTTTCTGGCAAGTAATTTTTTTTGTTATTTTCAATAAGTTGTCGTACGGTGTCAACATTAAAGTCTGTAACCGCAGTCGCCAGCCGACATTCACGTACCTCGTCATGCAGATGATCACGTCCACGTTTAAATTCTCCAAACCACGTATACACAGAGCTGCGACATAGTGCTTCATCACTAAATGCCAATTGAAGTCTCTGGCAACTCTTTTGTTGACTTAAGCCACAACGAAAATAATAAAAAATCATTGCACATAAATTTTCACGACTTAAATTCATTTTGATAGCGAAATAAAATTTTCGAAAGGACGTCACAATGAAAAAACAAATTACAGTATCGCAAATTGAAAAGTAACATAACATATAACAGTTCCCAAAGAGTTTTCATTTTCGAATTCCATAATTTTTTTTATTATTCATTATTGTAAGTGGCCAGATCCAGAGACTTTCAGTATTAAATAGTTAAGGAATCTAATACGATTTAAAAAGATTATATCATGCAACAAAAAACTCAAATTAAAACTTAAATTAACAGGAAAATTAAGTTTCTTAAAAATAATTTATTTAAATAAAAGGTAATTGTAAACAAATATTTCTTGCAATTTAAAATGATTGTTTACTATTATTCAATAACAATATAGAGAAAATTATAACAATATTCGAAAATAATCATACAACAATATTTTCATTATTATAATTGTCATTACGACCTTTTTGGTTGGTGTGAATATTCAATTCCTAGAATATTACTCCACTAGGATCCGCCCAGGCTTCGCACGGGTGCAATGTAAATACTACTAATGTGGTGTCAGTGTGGAGTAATTACTTATACTATTATTATGATAGGACTATACTACAGGACATCTTTAAATGTGATATTTACAGGCCCGCTCCGATCCGGCCCGCCGCTGCCACCCGGGACGGACGTACGGCTCGACGGTCGTAGGGGCCCTCGCGTTTCAAACCTCTAATATCTTCTAAAATATTCATTTTAATGAAATGCTGCATAGAGCACTTTTAATCTACATTAAACGTACAACGTATCTAACGCATTTAATTGAATAAGGAATAATAATGTATTGTTTAAAAAAGTATTGTTCGTAAATAACTCATTACTTTTCTGTAATATTTAAAAGGTGAAAATCGTTACTGTGGGTTATCCTTAGGAGATAGGGGGCGTCCATTAACTATGCGAGAGATTTTTGGCGATTTTCTGACCCCCCTCTGGTGAGATGTGAGATTTTCGTAATGTGTTTTTAGTGTAAAGGCGTTGTAAAGGCTGGCGGTGGCGCGTACTGCTATGCTACTTCGCGGCACTTGGCTAGATTTCCGTAGATGAACATGTTTTCTGGTTTAAGATATTTATTACTCAAAAGAATACAATTCACTTATATTGAGATTTACAAATTATGAACTTAAAAGTAAACTTATAATCTACGAGCGCATTTGACGGTGTCACCAAGCATTGTACAAAATCACATAACCAAAATTAAAATGTGGGTACATTAAGAAGAAAATACAAAGGTCGGGTCGCATTACGTATCGGTGTCTGATAGCAAGCGGGTAATTATGCAATCATAATTACAATCGCGATGCTAAAAACTAGAGAACTCTTTAAAGATGTGGAACTTAAGGGTTTTTTTAAATAAGTTGATTGATTGTATTTCTTTCATGTTATTTGGTAATTTATTATATAGTTGGGCTCCTTCATATAAAATATTTTTCTTTCCGTAGTTGGTTCGTGGGTGTCTTAAACATAAATTATTTTTTCGTCTTGTTATTCTTTTTTGAGTGTTTCCTTTTTTTGTAAATGTTAGCTTAGTATGTATATTTTTGTCTAAGATTTTTCGTACTAGTAGACATGTATTGTATTTATATATCTGAGCTAAAGTCATCAATTGTGTTTCTTTGTATATTTTTTTTGTAGGAGTTAGATAGTTGTAGTGGAAGAGCATTTTAATCATTTTGTTTTGGGCTATTTGCAATGTTTTTAGGTTACTTTTAGCAGCTGTTCCCCAAACTTCTATTAAATATTCGAGATGAGGTTTTACCATTGTATTATATATGATGTATCTTACGGATTTTGGAAAGCAGCGAACGTTACCGCGAAGTATTTTCATAATTGCTGAAAGCTTAGATTCTATTTTATCTATATGCGGCTGCCATGTGAGATACCTGTCTAGGTTTAGGCCTAGGTATTTTTCAGAACTAACTGCGACGATGGGTTCATTGTTAATATATAGAGGATAGTGAGGCCCAATTTTTTTGTTTTTTGCACTGAATATTAAATAATTTGTTTTTGATGTATTTATAGTTAGTAAATTGTTCTGAAACCACTCAATGAGAGTGTACAGATCATTTTGAGCTTGATTAATAATCGAGTCTATTTTACTACCGTAATAAAATAGGCTGGTATCATCTGCATACAGCGTTATGTCCCCTGCTAAACCTAGGTTTTGAACGTCGTTGCCTTGCGGTACGCCGAAAGTGAGGATTTCAGTATTGCTTTGAACTTTACCAATCCGAACAACTTGCTGTCTATTTGTGAGATATGATCGAAACAGACTATGAGCGGTTTCCCTTATTCCTATATTGTATAGTTTTTGTAGTAGCAGATCATGACTTATAGTGTCAAACGCTTTTTTCAAATCAATGAAAATGTTTTACTTTTTTTAACCCAGTTTTCTCGCAATTTTAATGTTTCTTGCGGATAAAAAATACGTGATATTTGCCGAGACCCCCCTCTCCCCAAAGTAAGATTAGATGAGATTCGGCTCGACTCCCCTAACCGCCTCACGTAAGTAATGGACGCCCATAGACATATACCATCGCGGATTTTTTGTAGAAATATACAACTCCGTATTACAGTATCTTGCTCTATCTCGTAAGGTTTAGCCAGCGTTTGCAATGTAAGCGTACATACAATGCGTTGTAAATACAATTTGTAATGTAAGAGTACAAAGATTTGTCGTTAAAAACATGTTTACAAAATCTTTGAAATCCTCGAATTTTCTCTACAATAATATGCATGTATTATGCATATAAACCTTCCTCTTGAATCACTCCCTCTATTGGTGAAAACCGCACTGAAATGCGTTGCTAAAGTTTAAACGATCTAAGCGTAACACAAAAAAAGTGTCTTTATTTTATACTATGTATGAAGAAGTTGTATTCAAATGAGTCAATATTAGAGAGTTGTTACTTTTATAGAAATAAAATATATTTAACTATGTATTATTATTTCATCAGATGGCTCGTTTATTATGAGAAAATGAAAAAAAAAGGTATTTCTTCGTTATATGGAAAAAATATTTGAGCAATTACCTGAAGATTGTGGTGAGGTTGCGTCAGATGCAGTTGTTGCTGTTGAGTCATGTGCAAATGGTCCATGGTAGGAGGCGCCGGCCGCGGGCGATATCCGCCGTATCCGCGATATCGCGCCCAGTCGCCACCAGCTGCCTGCTGATGCTGCTCAGCCATATGTTTCAAGGTCTGCGCCGCTGGTGACATCTCGCCACCCGAATACGGTCTCGGTGCAGGTTCACCCTCGGAGGGCTCTAAACCAATCCCTCCCCCATTTAAATTGCCACCGTCGATATCAAAATTTTTCATGAACTCAGGATACTCTGATATTTCCGTAATTAGGTCCTCGAATGTTTCACCTCCATCTTCTTCACCGATCAGATCGGCCAGTCCCGGAAAGGCGGAAGCTGCATCACGCTCAATGGCTGCAGCGCATTCCTCAAGACCTACAAAATCATCGTCAGCAACTTCCGATTTACATTCGGCTTTACATTCTCGCTCACAATCCAACGGAGTTGGCACCCGGGCTGGTGCTTGTGGCAAAGGTGGTGAACTTGAGGTCTTCACTGCATTTGCTAGTGCCTTTACCGTGACATTAGTAGAAATTTGTTGGGGCTGCGAGTCTGCAGCTGAAGTGGTGAATTCTAACTGCTGAACTATTTCTACTGAGAACTTAGTGAGAGCTTCGCCTCCAACGCCGCCTCCTCCAGCACCACCAACGCAATGCAATTTTGCAGGAGGTTCATAATCACCGCAGCCAAATTTTTGTTGCTGTAACATAAGAAAATATTCTGTTATAAATAAATAGTCTTTTGCATGACATGCTAACATTGAAACATAAAATAAAACTATAAATAATGCCTAGATTGCGATAAATTAAAAGTATTTATAATATATCAGAGGACATCAGATCGAGGCTCTTTAAATGTAAGTAAACTTTTTAATAACTAAAACAATAAAATACCATAAATTTGCTTCTTTGCCCTAGATGCACTACAAATGTTACCGCGACATCGATAAATTTAAAAACCTCTCATCACACAAGAATACACACAGCTATAGAATACAAATATGAGAATTGCAGGAGTACGGATAACAAATAATACCTAAGAGTGAACGACAGACCTTGGTATGTTAATGATTTAATCAAGAGCGTGGACGCTACGTCCCCATCTATATGATAGCAAAATATGTATACGTTCGCAATAATTGTACCTACATAGGTAATTTGCTTGCTGCGAAATAGAGGTGTTAAAAAAAATTCAAAACAGCTTTAATTTCAGCTACGCCGTCATTTATTGCAAAAAATAATATTCCATTGAAGAAAATATTGGAGTATTATCTTATTAGGGTACTAGCCTGAAATCAAAATTTTCTTTATACCATTACCATAACATGTATGCTTTTATTCATAGTATTTGTGGACAAATGTTATGAATATAAGTAGGTACCTAATTAAAAATAAAATAACTAGTTCAGATCGTTTATAAAGAAATTAATTTTTACAACTATTTTCTAGTTGAAAATTAAGATAAATTTTGGTACTTACAAATTTTCGCGAAAATCTACGTAAAATCTGGGTAGGTACAGAACCCCCGGCGCACGATTTCGACTCGTGCCTAACCAGTTTCTTATCATGGTTTGCAACTTTATAATGTCATTAAAAACTAAGTTCCCATCTAAATTTAAAATGTTGAAATATTTTATTCGTCATATTTTTACTTAAATTCTAGTAATTAGTTTTTGTAGATTTTGCCTTTAAAATAACTGTGTTCAACGGTTTTCGGAAAGGCGAAAAACACAAAACTAGTCAGAATAAGCTCTTTCAGCATAGGATGTTTTGTTACCCCGATTTTTGTTCTTCTAAATTACGGAATGGTTTAACATTGATCATCACTACTCATAACTAAACATGATTTATCTTATCACCAATCACAGGGATAGTAACGTATTTTTAAATATGTAATAATTTATGATTTTAATCCCGTTATGACATCATGAGTCATGACTCATAACTAATGAGCAATGTGCGTCAAGCGTTTTCGTCAATGTAGTCGCAGAAATTCCTAATGTAAAATTACAATAATACATTTTGATATCTTGTACCGATTCAATCGTACCGATGTAGTCCGTGTGGTGACGGATTTAGAATACGGAATGTCACAACCACTATTCATCCCGTGGCTGTCGTAAGAGCCGATTAAGGGAGCAAGCTACGCAGGACAACAGCACTGCAAAGAGAAGGAAAACTTGAAACCAACCCTTTATCAACCCGTCGAGCCAGTGTGGTATAGTAGGCCAAATCCTCCTTTCTAAGGCTCTCCTATAACAGTCCACTGCTAGACATAGGCCTCTGCCTATGTCTAGCAGTGGACTGTTATAGGCTGTTGATGATGATGATGGTACCGATTCAATAAAATTTCAGTTTTTTTTCTTTTAACTTATTGTTGCCTCAGGATAAAAATAAAAAAACTTGAAAACATAATATGTCCTATTACCTTATTGTCGAGAAAAGAGAACAAGAGTAAAAAAGTTAAGCCACTTTTGATTAGGTGACTAACAGATTAACTATCACTACTTACACATACACTATATTATTACATTATACACTACTAATAGGATATTATAAATAAAAATGAAATTAAAAGTATGATAGCAACTGTCATACATAATATAAAAAGAAACGTTTAGGGCTTTAAAATGTTACAATTGATCATTTAGTCCAATGTAATAATAAAATATATATTATATCTGATCAATTTCAACATCCCTATTGTTTAAATATTTTTCAAATTATACGCTATAATATTTATAACTTCCTACTAGTTTCACAGTACAAGTCGGTACTAAAATGTGTTCCAGCGGCACTGTCATATAGGAATTCTTTATTAGTGCGATAACTTTAGTATCAAATTTATTGTATGGAATCTGAAGCACTTAAGCAGTATATGAGCTGATAGTTGTAACACGCATATTAACATTGCCTCATTACTCAAAAGATAAGACTTGACCATTTGTCACTAAGAATTTCTTAAGCAAATGGAATAATTGCATTGAAGATCACGCATTGAATGTTTTGTAACTGCATGTGCACGATAACGTTATAAAACTCATACAAGCCACGTATGTAAATATTGATTTTTGATGCTATAACATAAGCGGTGGTAACATGCCAGCGACTGGTCGCCATCCAACCCATAGGGGCCAACTTAGGCTTCAATTAATCGTTTATTGCAAGTTCAGTTAACATATTTAGGTTAAAATAATCCGTCTATATACTTAACTTTGTATCTTGCATATACATTAACAATTTTATCATTAAGGACAACATAAAGATATAACAACAGTATTGAGGATTTGCCTTAAATACATCGCTAAAATATAAGCCAATGTGCCAATAACCGAATTCACTCCTATTAATTAAGATAAAACTTATTTTATTTGCATAAGATATTCTTTGTCTTTATTAACCGAACAATTATTTTTCTATGCATTAGATACATGCATAAATTGCCCAAGGTTAGCGATTATAACTTCCGAACTATTACTATTAAAGTAAGTACGCAAGATGTAGAAGTTACTTAATAATATGTGTCAGAAAACAGCGCAGGCGTTCGGAGGCCGTCGCGGTGAGCGGCGCGAGACAATGCGAGGCGTTTGTTGTGAAACTCGCGCAGTTTGCACAACCATAGACCGCCCTACCGTACCTACGTAAGCTAAATAAAATTTAGCTATCAGCTCACAACCAGGACGATGTCTCTACTAAGAACACAAGACTTACTCAAAAGTAGAGCGTAATGGAAATGTTTGAAATACTTTTCGCCAGTAGTGTTTCTTTGTTACGTCTATTATTGCCTAATGCCATATAAACGAAGTTTTATATGAATGAGCCTACTTATTCAATGTAGCATTTAGTATAATTTAATAGTAGATGTTAATTTGATGTCGCGTGCTGAGTAAAGTGTAGCGCTCGGAGGCACGGGATGCGATGGCAGAGGGTCAAGTCAATTGACGTCGAGCAACATCCGGTGTGGCAAAGCGGCGCTTATACTGCACGTGCTAGTACTAATTATCTCCCCATCTCGACCTACTGAACGCTAAACTACATCTATTGTGGCTAATTATTAAGAACTAAACGAATAAAAGGAAGTAAAGGAGTTCATATCCAAGGAGTAGAATAGAATCCAAGGTGACGTAATTATACACCAATCAATGCTGTTGAAGAGATAACTAAATTGATTGTCCATTATGTAAGTATACAAACGTAGCAGAGTTACATGTAGAATAAAAGAGGAAGTCCTAGTGTATTCATGACCTCTGTATGAAGCAATTCAAAACAAGACTGTAGTTCTTAGTACAGAGTTAGTCAAAGGAGTAAAAATGACGAATAAAGTCAACCGTGCGCATACTCGTAACAGATGCTTTTTAACGAGACGTTTTTCTTTTATATAAGCATTTATTTACTACCAATCTAAAAGTTGCAATAATGTATATACGTATATCAAACACTAACAAGGAAGTGAATTTATCTCACAGGATGCTCAAAACTAAAGTAGTGCATAGAGCGAAGCTTTCGCCTTAGTTATGTAAGAGAGGAAAGTAAGTATAATATGTAAAAGTGTAACCCCGACCAAATGAGGACAGTCTCGCTTAAAACAGTATAAATATCTATATATCTATATACATATATATATGGCTTCTGATAGTTTAAGATGCAAATGTATCATTTCCTACACTATTCTAGAAAATTATTTAATGGCGAGTAACGGTAAGCTCAAGTGAACACATACGAACATAGACGTAACACATATGTGTGTGTAACCGGTTTCCGCGAGGTATTTCTTGTTTTTGACTACATTGTTTCAAAGCTTGACACTTATTAGGTTTTGAATTATTTATGGTATCATGGCAAATCGTTAACTACATCATAATAATTAAATAGTTAGATACGGAAAAGTTAGTGATGATAGGTTCACGGTATAACGGTCAGCACAGAGAGCGGGCTAACAGTTATCGGTCATTTCGTTTAACTTAGTGAGAAAAAACGTTATCAGAGAAAAAATAACTGAATTGTAAGTCAAAAAATATACTTTACAGATATAAAATATATAAATGCTAAATTATATATCACATCATATTAACTATGACTATACTCAATATGTATAGGTAGGGTAGGTAAAATTTGTATATTATAAAAACTGTCGGAGATATTAATGACTCCTTTTACATCGTTATGTTGATTGAAAAACAAAGTATTTGCATAAATTAATAAAAAGTATCATATGATTTAAACATTACCAAATTAATTTACACAACAATTAGCGTCATGCCAGTTCGAATATAAATGCAAATCAATTGATATTTAAACTATATTTCATGTTCGTTAACCATATGCCTGGAGTAAATATTACAAAAATGTAAGAATAATTACTACACTAATTCTATTTTGGGACATAAGAAAAGTTAAATACAAAATTTGGGCACCTGTCCTGTGTCTTTTGACACAAAAAACTATAAATAAATCCATACGTAAGCTGTTTCAGAGGAATTTTCCGTCGCAGCAGATCCTGTGATCTTGACTTTATATGTGTCCCAAGTACTAATAGCTGCCTTATAACAAATGTATTATTTTGGAAGTATCCGAAATATCCAATTAGTAAATTGGCTTGTTAATTGCATGTCTTAGTACTGAACAAAATAAGCAAAGGTGTTTAACAAGTAACAAAGCTATATTAGCGTCCCATGTGGACTTCAAATCTACGACTAACGCTTAACAAAAATAGGTATAGAAGTTGAGTATGTTTGCTGTACAATCTATTTTTGTTATTTTTTTTTTAATAAAGCAAAGCAAGCCTTTTTACCTCAAGAAGATTAGGTGACTGAGACGTGTGCAGAAATTCCAATTACAAGCTATTCTAGTCAAAACTGCGTTTACCATGAGAGCAACAAGAGGTTTTTAAAGCTTTGAGTGCTAGTGGTAGTTGTGGCTCTTTGTTCATTTAAATTAGTAAGTGGGGTTATCGCACGTAGGTTTTATTAAAAATGCTGAGCTCAGCGCTTAAATCACATGATTAGATGTGACGTTAATTAAATATCTTTGATAAATGACTGGCTCGGTTTCACAGTGGTAGTTTATGCGACTGCTGTGCTGAGGTCCCGAGTTTGATTCCCGGGTCGAACCGAATGTTTATATGATCTGCAATATTATGTACGTACAACACGTACGAACAAGCTCTGCTTGGTTTGAAACTAGATGGCGTTGTGTCAAATGTCCGATGATATTTTTTATTATTAATAAATATAAATCGATTTAGATATTTTGCACTGAAAACTAAGCCACTCAACTTGAATTTGTATTCAGGTGTATAAAATATTTGCTTACAGTACGAAAATGATCTAATCGGCTCTTTTAATCGAGTAGCTCTCTGAAGAATTTTAATAAGCTATCAAGAATAACTGCAAAAAGTTTCAACAGGATATTAAATTTTTAACCGTCATGTATTGCCAAGAACACAGGCAACAACTTGGTTATGTCTCTTGCGATTAACACTCTCCACAAACAGTTCGTTCTACACTACGCATAATGAGTTATATTGTAATTTAATACGAGGCTAATAAAGCTGTACGTCTTTATTTTTTTATTATTAGTTTAAGGAGTAGTGCCATGCCGTGCCATGTATCCATAGAATAAGTTTCCATACTAAGGTGATAGATTAACACCACACAGGAAGAGAGGAGAGCACTATTTTGATGTCTTTAGTAGGCTCAATGATTATCAAAAAATTGTTTTTTTTTGTAATTTCAATAAAGACTACAAGGTAAACATGAATATGACGAAAGATAATTAAGTTAATGTTAAACGATTTTATGATTTATTTATTACTTCGCACTTGACTCGTCGATTAATAACATAGCTATTAATACGTAATGATGTCACATTATGGTATACTTTTAACTAATGCTAATCATACAGGATATATATAGATATAAGTATACATCGTAGACAAATAGGTTAAATATCTCACCACATGTACAACGCTACTGTGCAGGTTGCCGCTGATGGCCGGTAAATCTGGCTTACGGTCATTCTTCTTGGCTTGTCGCTTTGCTTTTCCTTCGAGAAAACGTTTTTGCAATGCCGTTGTTTCCAGGTTCTGCTGTTCGCAGGCGCCAGTGAATGACTGGTCGAATCTGGGCACGCACTCTGTCTGTCGGCGACGATACGTTTCTATCCTTCGTCTGTAACAAATAAAAAAACTGTAAATTAAAAGGTCACACAGAAAAAAATTTTTTTCATCTTTCATTGCCTAGGTTATAAGCACATGAAGCTAGTATTCGAACATCATCAAGTCAAAGACTATACCGTAATGCCTATTCAATTTGTATATTTAGTAAAATGGATTGAAATTACGGGTATGATAAGTTCTTTATTGCTATTACTATTTTACATTGTGTGGAAATTTAAAACTGACCGTTTACTGGTAGTACATCGGAATCTTGATTGATAGTGGGTGAGTAAGTTAGTCAGTAACAAAACTTGGTGAACTTTGTCTGTCAATAGGTCTTTTTTATGATATAGGTTGCAAACGAGCATACAGATCACCTGAAAGAAAATTAATACTGCCGCGCTGTCCATGAACGCCTACAACTCAGGGGTCACAATTAGTCACAAATGCGTTGCCGTTTATCACAAGTTCTTATTTTTGTAATAAGTAAGTGAGTAAAAGTAATTTACGAAAATCTCTTAGTTTCAAATCTCAGGTTTTATAGCTTTACCCACGATTCTGATTTTCGTCGACGAAGTTGACATGACATGCTGGCGAAGCTTTAACGACCCATTTTTATTGTAATGGGTCAGATATGAGACCTATTTTTTGGCGTTCCATGGATTCACCGTGCGGGTGAAGGGTCCTTCGTGTGATAGATAGGGGCAACACATGCGACTTCGACAGCGCCTGGGAATTGCGACCCAAGAATAGGTTTAGGGAGTACTTCTTGCGACTCGTCAGCGCTCACCACTACTGTCTGCTGTGTTACCTCTTAACCTAACCATATTTGATGCGAGCCTAGCAATGCCACTTTAGATATTCGTTCAAGAAAAGCTTACTGAAACTCTTGGCAATCCAAGGTCTTTAAGCAGGTTATAGAGGTATTTAGCTGGTATACCCCTCGCACCCACTTCCACGGCATACAAGGCAACGAAATAACAATTTTTAGTTATTTCGTTGGTTACGTCAAAGTACTTGTTTGTTTTTTCAAAGCGTGGTCTGAAACGTGGATGTCATTAAACTACACGCTTAATTGAAATTGCATAAAGAAGTATGTCCGAGGCACAGATATCCTCCGGTATACTGTAATGATTTTCATACTTCTCCAGTCACTGGCGGTATTTATAATTGAGTACGGCTTTTGTGAAGACTTTTCGTTGAGCCTTCCTTTACAAACTCGATGTTAGTTCTTATGTTTGTTGTTAGTTCTTATGTTTGTAGTCGCTCTCGCCAGTGATAAACCTATAGCTTCGCCTATGATTTGTAATACCCTATCATGGCGACGTGAATAATTACTCCGCTCTAATAGCGTCTTACAACCTAACAGTGTCTGGTTGTACCTATTTCCGTGTTGCACATCGTGCGGGAAAAGCTACAGTAAAGACTTGCTTTTCTGTAGCTTTTCCCCACCTTACTAGGTTACTTTGATCGGGGAGAGTTAATTGAAAGGCATTGATGTAAAATCTTAACAGGGCAGGTGACCAATCATATAAAAGTGTGCGCCATTTCAAAGCTGGTGATACAAAATATATATTAATATTTACAAACATAATAAGTATATAGATACACATATTGAGTTTAAAATGATAGTAAATTAAATAACGTGATAAACAAACAAAACGTGATAACAAGGTACAAAACAGTACGTTTAGCATTAAGTGTACCGCACAAACAACAATATTTCAACCGATGTTCAGTCAGCCGCAACTCCCGAGCGCGGTCACCTTGAGCAAATCTTTAGGCAGACATTCTGTCGGTTTTATAAAAAAATCATTACAACCTTTTCATTTAATCATCACCATTATGCCGTCGAAATGCTTAAGGTTACTTTCGACCCCGCTGAATGTTATTTAGAATTTGCATGCAATCTAATCCAATACAATTACATTTTAGGATTTCTATTTTTAATTTTGTTATATCACATACATTCTTAATTGTAAATATATTTACTAACTCTATTCGTTGAGACTTGCTACTTTTTTCAAATCATTAAGGAAATAATTAAAAATATTTTTGTTTCGACGTAGGAAAATAAAAATTATCATGCCTTGCACAATGGTATACAATACATTTGTAAAAGTTTGTTACCATCAAGATAATTCATGACTATCAAACCTTACGAGAAAGAAAAACAGGGTTAAAGTTAATTTATATTTATAAAAAACGAAACTCACAGACTGATTCACTGACTGATCGATCAACGCACAGCTGAAACCGCTGGGTCTAGAAGCATGGAATGCCCATTCATGGTTTCACTTTTAGACATTCAAATCATTATCTCAAATGTAAAAAAAAGCCGTTTGGTGTCGTGGGACACCCGATAGGAACGAAGTTGGGACGATCGAGTAAAACTGATTCGACACGATTTTAATTACAACGCCATCTATGAAAGCGGCCATTACCTACATATTTTTCAGTTGGTTTCTAATTAAAACAATTTATACATTGGTAAAATCTCCTTGAGAAATGATTTCCTATCTATTCGATAGATGGCGCTGAATGACTGACAAGTGACAATTCAAAATAAATACTGAGATGAAAAGTAATGATTTCCTATCTATTCGATAGATGGCGCTGAAAGACTGACATAAAAAGTGTCGTTACAACTTTTCGTGAGAATTTTTCCCGTCTAGCCGCCTTTCGCAACGCGCGATAAGGAACTTCGTTCCAAAAATCTATTTTAATGTGACTTTTCGACCCTGGATCTCTTCTATAGAACTTAAGAGTTTGAAATTAAATCTTACAAGGACTACTAAAACTTGAATCAATTACCATTTAAAGTTAAATGTTGCTATCATATCAAATAAACTATTAATGGTTGAATACAAATAATATCGTTTTAAAATAAAATTGTACAACAAATTGTACGAATGGTCCTTTACGAGTAGGTATTATAAATACGGACACGTCTTCGTTGGAGTCAGTTCAGTTCGAGCTACAGTGCGATAAACATCGAAGCGATCAAAGCGAATATAAATGTAACCCAACGACCTCGGCGATCATTTCGGACTGTTCTTCAGTATTGTGTGAACGTCTTAAAGTGTAATAATAATAGTCTCTTTAGTCGTCAGAAGGCTTATTATTCCGAATCAACGAACCCAAACACTAACACATAACAATATATTGCAGTTTAGCAATCTTATTATTTCGTATATGTAGTCGTACTTTATTTAGTGAATGTATTCAGGGTTAGTTTTGCCCTAATTTATACATGGTATCCCTGTCAAAAACACGACGCCACAAACATTCTATAAAAATAACTCTCAACGTCAGTGTCACAATATTTTCGCGTTGTTAATATTTTCACATTTAATTTCTCAAAAACCAAAAGTTCATTAAGTTTAAGAGTTAATATTTCAGATAATACTCAATGCAGTCTTAATAATGCAATTTATATATACCTATTAGACACAGCAAAAAATGTGAAACTGATTTTCATACTGAAATTCTCTTTTGCACAAATGTTCCTTATGTGACGTATGTAAAGGATTTAAAACACACCTAAGGGTGCAAAATCGGGTTAGAAATTTATATGAAACTTCGTTATTTTTAGCAGTAGCGTTTTAAAACACAGTAAACACTCTTTATGAAAAGTAATAAAAAACGTTGTTATTAAGTTTTTTACACTACTATTGAAAAGGGGTATGTTTGTATAAGCATTATTTTTAGAAAACTTGTCGATTCCAAACTCTCAGTATAATTATATTCTATATCAAAAATAATAATAAATATATACCTTTTTTTTACTTTTCAAAACGATGTTGAGTAAGTAAGTAAGTAAGTTACTCAATCATGCCAAAACGGCTTGTCGGATCTGGACGAGATTTGGCACGTAGATAATATAAATTATAATCTAGATTAGCACAAGTGGGCAAAAGCTAGTTCAAAAAATTCAGAGGCGAAGGGCATTGAATAAAGAAAAGCAACATAATGGAAAATTAAAAAGTCACCTCGAAGCACTAGACATTAAACATATGTACGATCAAGTGATTAATAAGGCATTGTAGTACCTATGTCTAGCCAGTTTGAAAAATTTGAGGCATATCAATATTATAGAAATGGTTGAAATTTGCAAAAAATTACCAGTCTGTGTGAATAATGTTCGATGTATGTGTATTTCATTGTTTTTTTTTTCATAGAAAATAAGCATAGAGTGAACAAGAGCCCCAATCTCACTATATAGGCAACGAGTGAGATGGATAATAGATAGATGCCTCTATCTCTTTCTAGTCGAGCTCTGTGGTTGAGCAATATGTCTGAGCAATATGAGGGGTCAATAAGTAGCCAATCGCAGCTCAGCTAAACAGAGACAGAGGAAACTATCGGGCTCCATCTCTCTCGTGGCCTGTATCGTTTCCACTTACAAGCAGCTGTACCCCGTGTTCTCTTTATGCTTATACCTCTATGGTTTTTAAGTGATCAAGAAGAATGGAAGAAGAGCACACATTGCACCAACGGTTGGCAATAATTTTCGATAGACCGTTCAAACTAATTAGACTTGATGATAACCTGGTTTTGCTAAGCCATTATTGCTAGGTCTTGTATACATGTCTTGTATACATCTCGTAGCTTTGTTGCCAGCCAACTACTTTTTTTTTTATCAGTATCCAATATAATAATATCAATATACTATAATAATAATAATATCAATATACTAATTCTGACTTCAAAACAAATTTCTGTAAATACTTGTTTATGTACTAATATCAGTAAAATAATAACAGATTTGCAGTCTAACAACAGTGAAGTCAAATAAGTAAGCTCGTGGTTATGTAACGGTTTCGACGATGCAAGTAGTTACTTATTATATAAGTAGCAAATATTTATGATGCACATCACTTCGTTCATATACACTCACTTTAAAAGATGGAATAGTGACCTAGCGACTTTGTAAGCGTGGAATTTGAAAAGCGCTGCCTTAGTGGGTTCGATTCCCGGACCGGACAAAAATTATAAAGGGTTTTCTTAAAG